TAGAGTCAGCGATTGTCTAGGACAGTTATCGATCTTCCAAGTCGTTGCATGGGGATTTCTCGGTAAGCAGCTGTGTTCTAGTAATTTGGGGCGTTTCAGGGTGTATCGCAACCAGCATCTGTTGTCCGCCTTCAAAGTAATTGAATGGGTTGTTCTCAGAAGCATCGCTTTTTTAGGTGTTGTGGAGTCTACGCGTCGGGTTTCCATATCGATCTGGTTTATGAGGACGAATTCTCGCTTTCCGAGAGCTAATCAGCTAGTAGCATGGTTTCAATTTTTTAATGAAACTTGATGAGAAGTTGAAGTTCAAAATAAGTTGAAGCTGTTTTTTAAGCTTATCTAGAGGAACCTGAAGAAGCTGAAATTTGACTTAGATTGATATTGATTCTAAATTTAGAAATGGAATAAGAACTACCTCTATTGGCTAATTCATAATTTTTCCCCCTAATTTTTGAATAAATCAAAATGCACCAGTGATACTGGGTAAATAGGTCGAAAATAATTCAAGTGAAAACAAGAATCTGATACAATTGTTTGCCCCTCGGTGATGTCATAAAGCTATCCACCCTAATTACGTATAAACAATTTATTCCCAAGGATGCCGGTTAAATACCCCTATCAGAAGTTCAATTGAAAAAATTAATCTGATAAGATCTTTATTAGGCCCCCAAGAAAAAAAAAGAATAGGCTACTTGAGTAACATATTCACGCGACTTTGACAGGTTGACCTCTCTCCCAAAGTAGGCTTGACATCTTGCTGCTCTATACTACTGAAAGGTAACGTAAACAAGGCAGCACCGCTATACCCACCTTAAAAAGCACAACCAACTATTTCAATTTTGTGAAATTTTGGGGAATGTTGGTAATCATGACCAAAAAGTAATGAAAACTGCCTTTATTGTGACGACAATTTTATTGGACTATTAAACACCCCAGTAAACTTGATGAAATGAACAATTGTCTTTTCAACTTGTGTAAACTCAAGGAGTTTTCGGTAGTCAAGACCAAAAGTAGTGGGAGTTACCAGTATTGTGACGACAAATTTTTTTGGGACACCGCTGTGCAGTTTTGATTCTGCAACTATCGCTACCCCAGTTGTTTTGAAAAAATGAACAAAAGTGAGCTTAACAAGATGGATAAGTTAGCCACATACTATCCTCAAAAACGGAAAAAGTTGCTTCCAAGTCGTTGAATGGAGATTTCTCAGGAAGCATCGCTTCTTTAGGTGGTGTAGAGTTAGAGATTATCAAGGACAGTTTTCGACCTTCCAAGTTGTTGCATGGGGATTTCTCGGGAAGCATCTATGTTCTGGTAATTTGGGGCGTTTCAGGGTGTATCGCAACCAGCATCTGTTGTCCGCCTTCAAAGTAGTTGAATGGAGTGTTCTCGGAAGCATCGCTTTTTTAGGTGGTATAGAGTCAGCGATTGTCTAGGACAGTTATCGATCTTCCAAGTCGTTGCATGGGGATTTCTCGGTAAGCAGCTGTGTTCTAGTAATTTGGGGCGTTTCAGGGTGTATCGCAACCAGCATCTGTTGTCCGCCTTCAAAGTAATTGAATGGATTGTTCTCAGAAGCATCGCTTTTTTAGGTGTTGTGGAGTCTACGCGTCGGGTTTCCATATCGATCTGGTTTATGAGGACGAATTCTCGCTTTCCGAGAGCTAATCAGCTGGTAGCATGGTTTCAATTTTTTAATGAAACTTGATGAGAAGTTGAAGTTGAAAATTAGTTGAAGCTGTTTTTTAAGCTTATCTAGAGGAACCTGAAGAAGCTGAAATTTGACTTAGATTGATATTGATTCTAAATTTAGAAATGGAACAAGAACTACCTCTATTGGCTAATTCATAATTTTTTCCCCTAATTTTTGAATAAATCAAAATGCACCAGTGATACTGGGTAAATAGGTCGAAAATAATTCAAGTGAAAACAATAATCTGATACAATTGTTTGCCCCTCGGTGATGTCATAAAGCTATCCACCCTAATTACGTATAAACAATTTATTCCCAAGGATGCCGGTTAAATACCCTTATCAGAAGTTCAATTGAAAAAATTAATCTGATAAGATCTTTATTAGGCCCCCAAGAAAAAAAAAGAATAGGCTACTTGAGTAACATATTCACGCGACTTTGACAGGTTGACCTCTCTCCCAAAGTAGGCTGGACATCTTGCTGCTCTATACTACTGAAAGGTAACGCAAACAAGGCAGCACCGCTATACCCACCTTAAAAAGCATAACCATATTTTTCAACTTTGTGAAATTTTGGGGAATGTTGGTAATCATGACTAAAAAGTAATGAAAACTGCCTTTATTGTGACGACAATTTTTTTGGACTAATAAACACCCCAGTAAACTTGATGAAATGAACAATTGTCCTTTCAACTTGTGTAAACTCAAGGAATTTTCGGTAGTCAAGACCAAAAGTAGTGGGAATTACCAGTATTGTGACGACATTTTTATTGGGACACCCCTGTGCAATTTTGATTCTGCAACTATCGCTACCCCAGTTGTTTTGAAAAATGAACATAAGTGAGCTGAACAAGATGGATAAATTAGCCACAAACTATCCTCAAAAACGGAAAAACTTGCTTCCAAGTCGTTGAATGGAGGTTTCTCAGGAAGCATCGCTTCTTTAGGTGGTGTAGAGTCAGAGATTATCCAGGACAGTTTTCGATCTTCCTAGTTGTTGCATGGGGATTTCTCGGGAATTATCTATGTTCTGGTAATTTGGGGCGTTTCAGGGTGTATCGCAACCAGCATCTGATGTCCGCCTTCAAAGTAGTTGAATGGAGTGTTCTCAGGAAGCATCGCTTTTTTAGGTGTTGTGGAGTCTACGCGTCGGGTTTCCATATTGATCTGGTTTACGGGGACGAATTCTCGCTTTCCGAGAGCTATTCAGCTGGCAGCATGGTTTCAATTTTTAAATGAAACTTAATGAAAAGTTCAAGAGAAGTTGAAGTTGAAATTTAGTTGAAGCTGTTTTTTAAGCTAATCTAGAGGAACCTGAAGAAGCTGTAATTTTGACTTAGATTGAATTTGATTCTAACTCTAGAAAAGGAACAAGAACTCCCTCTATTGGCTAATTAATAATTTTTTTCTCCCTAATTTTTGAATAAATCAAAATGCACCAGTGATACTGGGTAAATAGGTCGAAAAATAATAGGTCGAAGTGAAAACCGGACTGCAATAAGAGTGTCAAGATTCTGGTTAACTCATTCCGTAGGCTTCTCATAAAGGACCAGTTCACGTTGGGTCCGTCCATAGAAATTTGTAACTTCTGCTGGGGATGAACCTGAACAAAAGTTTTTGTTTCCGATGAACAACTAGTTAAATTTACCAAAACTTAATTTCGATAACTTACCTTGAAAACTCCTCTGAACTGCTGAAGAATATCCACAGCTCTCGCATGTCCCAAAGCACGTGAATCGTAGTAGTGGCTCCGCCCTGTATATGATTTCTTACAAAGAACACATCTGAACTCGTGTTCAGTTGTTGAGTTAGCAACCCACAATTTAAATTAAACCATCTTGAAGCCAGTCTTCGTCGATTTTACATCTTTCCTCGACTGAACATTCGCGACTCATACCCCCTGAAAAAATTACTGGCTAACTCTTAATGAACAATTGAATTTAGTGGAGTAAAAACTAAAAGGCCAGCAACGCTTTCACGCTCCTGGCCCTGACACAACTTTGCTCGCCCTGACACGGCCCTGACTGCCCTGACAATATTTTGTTTGCCCTGACCGCGTGGCAATCCTGAACTAGCATCCTGTGGGTTATCTGTTTTAAACGCTCGAATGAGAGATTATTTCACTTGCAAACGAAATGCAATTTTTTTGAGTGACTAAATGCATCGAGTGAATTAAGAGTGGCTTTTCTGGCCTCAATTAGTACACTTAATTGCAATACTACTATGGCTGTAAAAGGGCTTAATGTGAAGCAATGTATCGGTTTTAAAAGGGGTTTAAATTGTCGTGGCGTTATTTTGTCACGGCGTTATAAAATAGAAAGGTGTAAACATAGGGGTGTAAACATAGGGGTTGAATGACGTGGGGTTAAAAAGTGTGGCACCGTAATTCTCACCCGATTGATTGTCCGACTGATGTTTTTCTCTACATTAATGACGAGAAAAAATTCGGTAACTTTTTTTCTGTTTTGTTTGAGCAATCATTTGCCTCAAAGTAAGAGCGAGCTTGAGTGGGACAAATTTTGCTCAATTGATTTGTTTTGAGTAAATATGAAGTTCTTTTGCTGAATGGAGGGTGAACTGCGCTCTGCAAAAACAAAATGACGTGAAAAATGGTTTCAAGCGTGTATATCAGTTTGAAGTGGAGTTAAACGTTTTCTCCTGTGTTCCAATTTTGCCCGATTAGGGATCTTAATCAAAGTAGTTTCCATCAGAAAAAGTCCTGAAGTTCAAAGCTCGAAACAGTTTTTTGGTTCAATTATTCATTGACACCTTTTAACTATTAGTTTGCTTTGTTAGTTTCTGTAAATGTTTAATTCAAACTTTATGTTTACAGACCTTTTTTTATCTCAAACGCCGCGATAGTTGGGTGGGTTCGCAGAAGAAATTGTCAAAAAAAAATATCGACAGTCCTGTGTTGTTTTATCTTAAATCACGCATTAACTGACTCCAACCTGATTTTTTTCTTATAAATCAAGCCATTCTATCTGCTATAGAATCACCTGATATAGTGATGGCCGGGTGATACTCAACTTTAAAAGTGCTCGAAATCGCTCTTCGAAAATTCGCCGTGAGTGCAGGAAGTTTCAACAAAAAGGCTGTCAGTATCGTCTTGTAAGAAGTATAAACATAAATTTCGTCATCCGTATAGCATGAAGGTTGCTTATTTCCTAAAATTTATTTTGGGTACTCTAGAGCAGTTTTGTTCGACTTGTTTTTTTTTTTAAATGGACGTTAAGCATTAGCAGATATTTTATTTGTTTCTCTTCAAAACCATGGCGATATGGTTTTTCAAAATGTTGAATTTCAGAGTCCGGTTATGCCTAAAGCAAAGCCGGTTAAAAGTGCTCGGCCACCTGGGCGCAAACAAGGCAGCAACAATCAGAAGGAAGGCAAAGATGTGAAGCTAACAAAAGACGAAAAGGCAGTCGTCAAGTTCCTATTTGACAACGTCGAAAATAAAAAAGCGAACATGTACGGCAACAATAAGCTCTACTTCGCTGGGGCAAAAGCAGTAACATGTTTGATGGAGTCCAAATTCGCCCAAGGCAAATATGGAGAGACGTTGTTCAACAATCGGAAAATGGCCATCGAGTTTTGCCAAAACTTACTCAACAAAAATTCATTCCACCGCGTTATCAAAATAGTCAAAAAACAGAAGCCAAGAGTTAAAGAAACTAGTAAGGACGAAAGCAGCAAAAGCAAGTCATCCAAAAAGAGCTCTAGCAAACCAGGAGAAAACGAAGAAAAGGAAGAGAAAGCAACAGCTGGACCAGGGGGTGACCAGGATTCGAACTCGGGACCTCAGAAAAGAAAGATCAAGAAAGTGGAACCAGAAGTGTCTGACAAGAAGAAAGAAAATAAAGAAGAAAAAGAAAATAAAGACAGCAATAGTAAATCAAGTGTTAAAAAGGACGATAATGAGTCGTCTTCTGAATCTAAACCAAAGAAAAAGATCAAAGGAAAAGTCCATCTCGATTTGAATCCGGTTAGTATCAATATATAATGATAAGGGATCTACTTTACAATCTCCATCCCCTTCCCTCCTATGATATCTACCAAAGAATCTCCACCTTTATAAACAAGACAGTAAATACGCTCTAAATAGTTCTATCGAAATTCTAATTTAGCTGCATTCTGATTTGTCGAAAAGTCGACTAATTTAACCTACTTAACAATCCCCCATCTTGAAGAGGGAGGGACTGTTAATTAGATCTATAATAAGAACTGCTTCGAAGTCAGATCAGAAGAATGGCTTTTTCCGTGAAAAGTTCATTTGTGCGTAGTATGAGTTATTGGTAAATCACAGAGACCGTTCTGCTCTAGACAAAGATAGGTAAGAAACTAGTCAGGGCGAAAGCAACAAAGAGCTCTACCAAATTAGGCGAGAACAAAAAGAAAGAGAATAAAAATAGCAAGGCCAGTGTGACCAGGATTCGAACTCGGGTCCTCAGAAAAGATAGAAAAGAAAATCAGACTAACTGTTGTGAATGGTGATCAAATTTTCGGCTGATGATTTTCTGCTAATTGGGTGCCTTGCAAACTATTGAGTAAACAAGCTTCGGTTTTGCTTGTTATTATGTCTGCCATAATTTCCTATTAAGTTACCTACTAAGAAATCCTACGATAATCTTTAAATTTTGGAAAAATCATTAGCAAAGGGAAGTAAATTCAAAAAATTAAGCGCTGTATTTTATAAAGTCTTACAATCAAATCATTAGACGTAAAAAGAATTTAGAATCTTTTTTAGAACCAAACATTCTACGACGATCCCAAGTGCTACTACGTATGGGTGTACGAGTCGCAATCGATCTGGAAGAGTCTGATTGGCGGAGGCCTCATCATCGGCTCCATCGCAATCTGTCTGTTCCCTCTCTGGCCAGAATGGCTACGCTACTCGTCCTGGTACGCCACCAGCTCCGTGGCCATGCTTCTACTCGGCATCCTCATAGCTCTGGCTCTAGTGCGGCTGATGGTCTATGGAGTGGTGTTTGTGTACACAAAGTCAAAGTGTCGATTCTGGCTGTTGCCGAACTTGTTTGCCGAAGTCGGGTTCTTCGAGTCGTTTGTGCCATATTACGAGAGCAAGTGGATAAAGTCGGGGGATAAAAAGAAGGATAAAAAAGACAAGGCGAAGAATTCATCGGACGAGGAACGAGATGAAGAGGAAAGTGTGCATGGAGGCGAGGATGAAAATCAGGACAACAAAGAAAATGAAGATTTGTCGTCGGATGAAAACAAATCGGATGCCAATGACTCAAACTTAGTTGGCAATGAACACTTGCCAAATAATGACGCGACTCCTGAAGAGAATGAAAACAACGCCAATGAGAACGAAGAAGAAAATTCGTCCACTAACTCGGTTAACGAGAACGATTTTGAGGTGCTAGATGCGCAATCCTAGCATTCGCTATGCTTCCATGTCAATTTTTAAATCCTAAACCAATGAATTACACTAAAAATGGCCACCGCGTCACATGTTGTAGAAGAAAAAACTATGTTAATAAAGCTTTTATAAATTCACTCTAAAATTATTGAATTGCTACATGTTTTAACGTTGTCAGGCGGGTTAGCTTGGTTAGTGTTTTCCATTATTGTGCTGTCTTACTTGCGGGTGGTTGTAATTTTTCCTCTAATTTAATGTTACATATCTACCTACTTTTTCCAAGAACTCAAATATCTCAGGTCCTCAGCTGGTTTGAATTGAGAAGTGAGATAGTTCGCACTAACAGTCATAATTATCCTTGCGAGAGCAAGTGTCTGGTTATCGGGAACTAGACTTTTTCCCGTAAACAACTTGTCTTACAAATCTGTAAGAAATTGATTTTGCTTTATTATTAATCTTAAAAACATCCAGGCTCCTTCACACGTGGTCTGTAGCTAACGCTTCGCACCTTAAGGTCACCGGTTCCATTACCGGACGGCTCTTATTTTTTTTGGTATGCATCAAGTTTTTTTTGTATGCATGAAATAGAGGTTTTTTTCCGAGAGAAGATGAATTGTCGGACTTTCGCTATTCTGGTATGCTGTTTTTTCGGCTCAGTTGACACTTCACGGATGTTTCTTGTGCTGCGAGCATTTTTCCTTGTAGTTGCAACTGTGATTTACTCCGGTAATTTATAAATTTACTTAACCTGACTCAGTATATTTTTGGACACTTTAAAAATACACAGTGACTACGTGAAGCTTTGCATAACTTGCGATACAGAGCAGGCATAGCATTGTAGGCTAGTGAATAGTTCAAACAAATTATTTTTTTAGAAAAAAAAATATTTCAATCTCATTCTCTATTCAATAGCTTGCAATGCTACGCTTAATGAGATACAAAGCTCCGCTTTGCCTCTGTGTATTTTTAAGTGTCAATCAACGAATTGAAGACACTTAATTTTACGTAGATCTTGGTATTTACGTAGATTGTTTTTTTTTATGTTGGTTGTGAATTTACCTACTCCGATTTTGGAACACATATATTTTTTTTCTCTTGATTATTTGGCATGAAACGTTTTGGCTCGCAATTTACCGGCTTACAGACCTCTTTTTGAATCGTTTGAGAAGTTAAATTGTTTTATCTAACTTTTTTGAGGTGGTACTTAAAAAAAAATTTTGTTGTTAATTTTTTTGAATAAAAGTTTTGTCGACGCAACTTGTGCCTGCTCAAGAATCGTCGGCTTTGTTATCGCGCATCGGCCATGCTAAGCATGTTTTGTACTCCAAGTATTGCTATGCTTGCTGCACCTCTGCTCAAGAATCATCGGCTTTGTTACCGCGGATTGGCCATGCATTGTATGTATTGTACTGCAAGTATTGCGATGCTTTGCTGTATCTCTGTTTTTGAACCTTCTAAATGTGCAAGTAATTCATTTCTAATATTTCGGATTTTTTTGCAATTTTTATTATTTTTTGAGAAAAAATTTTTTGAAGTTTTTTTTCTATTTGTAGGTTCATCTGCAAACAGTGAACATCATTCATTTTTTGTATCGCAACTGGTGTGAAGCTCTGCTTCGCCTCTGTGTAAAAGATTCTTTTGGAATTCAAAGAGCTCTAGACCGATTTATTTTATCTTTTCCGAATCTCAAAATGTAATTATTTAAAAAAAATTAATCATTTGTTTCTATTTTTTGACACTTTTCCATTAAAACTTTGCAAATCTCCTTTTGCTATTTTGCCCATTGTTAATGGTTTGCAAATTGCTTGGATTTAAAAAAAAATTTCAATCTGTTTTATAAGAGAATTTTTGCGATAAGTTTTTCAAGGATTCATTTATAGCCATTGTTGGTGCACCACCTTTTTTGAATAATTTTTGATGCAGAATTGGTGTCAGAATTTTTTGCCTGCAAAAATGACACCTAACTTTTTGAGTTAATAATTCTGAGCTTTAGTGCCATCAGCTTGCTTGCCCCTCTTGGCTTTGGTTTCGTTGTCATTACATTTTGAGAGAATAATGATATCTGATCAATCGAGTGTTTTAAAAAAGACAGTTTTGTTAGGTATAGTCTTTCAAGTTTTTGTTTTTCATTAATTTTGGAAGATACCTTATTATGAACTTAAAATATTTTTCGAGTATTTTTACGCTCTCGATAAGCGAGCGTTATCAAACCGAGATGTAGACTTTTTTCGGGTCAACAACTAGTTTAACAGAGTCTTTTGAATCTTTTTACCTTTGTTTTATAAGAAATCAAAAGTCAGATGTTGATTCGCTCATGTGGCGAAGAGCTAATGCACCTGCCTATAAAGACAGGTCAATTGTTCGAATCCGGCCAGGACCAGTTTTTTTGTGAGGGAAAAATGTCCGCGGGATTTTTTGTCGGCATAGTTGCCGCAGCACGCAATTTGCTCAAAATTTGGGCATTTGTATTCAAACTAAAAAATGTTTCGAGTGTATTTTGGTGTTCGGCCAGTAAGTGAGTTCTAGGAAGTTTTGTCTATTTTTTTTCTATTTTTTCATGCTGTTCATTACAATTGCAAGTTATTTTCTTTCTAAATTCCAAAAGTGCTCTGTGCAGTGGTGACACCGATGCTTGAGTCGACATCGCTGAAGTTCCAGTCGAGACCTGTTTTTTTTTTGTGGAAACTGAAAGTTTTCTAATATCTGTCTGGAAATTTTGGCGGCTTAGGTCCCGCAGAAAGATTCGGTTTTCGGAATTTTCAAAGTTCTTTGTAAACCTTCTAATAGTGCTGGTAATTTTGTTACATGAATTTTTGTCCTTTTTTGCAATCCTTAATAGTTTCTTTGTCAATGTTATAACAGGTTTTGATAATTTTTAAAACAGTTTTTTATTTTAATTTTTGAGTTGTCTTTTTCTTCGCAGTTAATCACAGTCATTCATTTTTTATCGCAAGTGTTGCGAAGCTCCGCTTCGCCTGTGTGTTTATTTTGTTTTGGTGAAGCGTTGCAGTTTGAGCATTTGGTTGCAATGTTTTTATCCAATCTCGCTAACAAACGTCGTTGCGCTGCCGAGTAAATCAATATTAGTACTAGGCAACTTTCTGAAACAGCTTCGCTATGTGGCATGTCTTTTCAGGACGGAGAGCTTGTCAAAATTTTGAATTTCAAAACGTTTTAGCTCATTTTTTTGACAGCAGTTTGATTTTCGGCTAAACGGGGTAGACAAAAACATGGTCGCCTTAGTTGCCTCTCGGGAAGTGATTTCCGATGTTTGTAATGCAAAGTTTTTCGTAAAAACGCTAACCGTAGTGTTGTTATGAACGTTGATTTTATGCGATTCTTAACTTTGTAACCTTCTTCAACTTATACACAAGCGGGCGTAATGTATTAGATTTTTTAAAATCTAAATTACAAATGAAAGTGCTTAAAATCACGATCTGTAGCATTGGATTTTTCCTAGCATTTGTTCTCTGCTGTTTTAAGGTGGCTAGTGTTTGCAGTTAGTCAAGGTTACTTGGCTTAGGGAGGCGGACGCGAGCTTCTCAAGCTACTTCTTGAAGGCTCAACGCCGCACTAGTGCAAGTTTTATTTATAATTGATGGCATTTTTGCTGCATAGCCATGGCAATTTATTAGCATCTATAGCTGTATCATTGCTGGCTAGTGTTAGCAAATTTTCAATGAATCGTGCAGATGCGAGACCGTCAAACTGAAATTGCGAGGTAGCAATTTAGAATCCGATACATAGCAAATGTTTTAATTCAAGGATTATTTCTACTTTTGTTAATTCCATTTTAAGAGGAGCTGCTTTTTGTCGTTTTCTCGCTAGTGTGCGAAGCGCAGCTTTGCCTGTATGTTTATTCTTACAAATAAATTGAAAGCATCTGCTGGATCGATGTTTTCTGTTGTTCATTGAAAAACAATCAGTATAAAAGCTCGAAAGTAAGTATTTGGACAGCTCGAATTGAGTTCTGCGCAAGGTATATTTGTTTCAGGAAATTGATCAGAATTGAAATTTTACGCTCGTGACCAGCATGCGTTATAAAATCGGAGTATTTGACTTTTTTCCTGGTGAATATCTTGTCTCGCAGAGTCACTAAGTCATTTGATAGCTTGCCTTATAAATCGTTTGATTAAAAAAAAGGTTTTAAGAACGTGTGAAGAAGGATCTGGTTTTTAAGACGCTTTGGAAAACATTTTCAGCTTTTCTCAAAAACCTAAATTTTTTCTCAAAGGCACTCTTCTGATTGTCTTATATTTGGTTCCAATGGGAAGAACGCCCACTCTCCTGTGTGCCTGCTTAATCTCCTAGTCTCTTCTTTCCTTAGTCCACTTTCTGCAGTCTTCAAAAAAGCCTGTGGGGAATTTTACCACTATTTCTGGATTTTTCATCATTTGCTCGGAAACCGCTCATCCAAATTTGAGATTTTGGGTTCAACGGCTAGAAAGGATCATTGGAAGCTCCTCTGTCTAATAGGCTATAACCAAATTTTGGTACACAAAAAGTTTGGGTCCTCGGAAAAGTCATTTTTTCGACTTTTTGACAGTTGTTTGAAACTTTGTTTTTTTTTCTCAAAAACTACCTTACTAAATCTGAGATTTTCATTCCAATCGAAATGACGGGTTGTGTGAAGCTCCCCTAGCTAAGCCCAAACTTATTAAACAAAACTTATTTTGATTATTTGACAGTTTTTCAACTTTTTTGAACTTTCTCGGAAACAGCCCTTTCAAATCTCAGATTTTGGGTTCGATGAAGTGAAAAGAGTGTGTGAAGTTTCTGAATAAGCGGCTCTGTCCAATTTAGATCACACAAAAGTTATGGCCCTCCAAAATGTCATAATTTTGATTTATTGGCTGTTTTTTGAAAACTTTTCTTCTCGATAACTACCCTACCAAAGCTGAGATTTTGGGCTCAAAAGAGAGAAAGATTGTGCTAAGCTCCTTTGCATAAGCGACGAAGTCCAAATTTTTTTCCACAAAAATTTTATTAACCTCGAAGAAGTCCAAGTTTCGATTTTTTTTGCCGTTTTCAATTTTTCTTTTCTGGAAAGCTACTATGCCCATTTTGACAGTTTGGGTTCAATGTAGAGAGCGGGTTGTTCCTTTTATGAGCAGCAACCAGTCTAAACTTTCGTACAAAAATGTTATGACCATCAGAAAAGTCAAGGTTTTGGTTTCGTATCCGTTTTTTGAACTTTCTTGACTTTTCTTGAAAACTACCCAGCGGATCCTAATATAAATGTTTAATCGAGGCAC